TGAGGAACAGGCTATTTCTGGCCTGTTCCGCATCCCTGTTTATGTGCCTGAGTCTTAGGGGCAGGTCGAAACAATGAGGGCCTGAAAATGGCCCTACGTTTCAGGCTGAAAACTCTGGGTCTGAAAAGACCCAGAAATAGGCTGAAATGGGGTAGGGCCTGCAGGCCCTCGTTTTTCAGCTTCCAGGCTGAAACGAACGGGGCCTGTAAGCCCTAAGTTTTAGGCTTTTAGGCTGAATGTCCGGGACGGGCCCTGCAGGGCCCGTGTGGCTATGCAGTATGCCACACCCCCCCCTCTTTGAAGAACCGAGCTTACCTGCGAGGGCGAAGCTGTCTGTCTGAGGGAGGGACCACAGTCCGGGTGGGAGGGGCTGGTCGTGAAGCTTCCTAAGCTAACCTCCGCTCTTCATAATGCGCGTAGATCAGCGGTGCAGATGCTTTCAAATCTGCGCCTGAAATCCACCGAGTGTCGTCGCGATCGCATGCTTTGAATGTGACTTTGTACTGTCGCGGTTTGCTGCCGTACTTGCGATCGGAGATGACGCGGTCAACTTCCTGATGGCCATCCATAGAAGGAGGGTCCTGCGATCCTCGGTCCGGAAGGTCGTCGCTCTTGGCTGGCGTGTATGTTGTCAGATGCTTTGGAATGTTGATCACAAATGAAGGGCCATCGGGCTCATCGCCCGCGGCTGCTGTCGCCGACCAAGGTCCAAATCACTTGGGAAGCAGTTTGCGTGAAACGTCCTGTTCCAGTGCAAACTCTTCCGCGGAGACCCAAACCAGATCACCGGCGCAGATGGGACATGGTACGCGACGCCTGTTGGCTTGCTGCTGCATGCGGACTTGAGCCTTTTGCATATTTGCGCGGGCTTGAGTCAGCAATTCCCTGTACTTCCGGACGGAAGCGGGAGAGCAGGCAGCGTCAATGTCGGCTGGTCGAGGGAGGAGAAGGTCTGCGAAGATCCGGCCTTTTCGTCCACCGTGGTGCAACTCAAATGGAGTCACTCCGATCGCCGGATGTACCGAAGTGTTGTAGGCAAACTCGATGTCGGGGAGGCGGTCAACCCAATCTTTCTGGTCCGGACGGATGAGCGTACGAAGCATCATTTGAGCGGTTTGATGAGCCCGCTCCGTCTGCCCGTCTGCCGGAGGATGTCGAGCCGTACTTGGTTTCATTGTTGTGTCGGACTCCTGCATGAGAGCAGTCCAAAACGCCGACATGAAACGAGTGTCGCGGTCACCGACAATGTCTTCTGGTACACCGTGGCCACAAATCCAACCAGTGTGCAGGAGGCGTGCCAGCTCGGGAGCCGTGGAGTAGTACTTGCAAGGGAGAGAACGCGCGTACTTACTCAATCGGTCCACAACCGTGAGGATGCCGTCGTGCCCGAGCCGGTCGCGAGGAAACGGACCGGTGACGTCCATGGCAATGGAGAGACCGGGTTCCCATGGGATAGGCATCGGGTGTAACTCATCGTAGGGATTGCGGTTGCGGGGCTTGCTGCGTCGGCAAACTTCACAAGAGTCGACATCGGTAATGAGGTCGGGCCATCGGAATCGCTGTCGAAGCCGTGCAATAGTGCGGTTGACTCCGAAATGGCCGGCGAGTCGTGAATCATGATACTCGCCGAGGAGGCGAGTCCGAAGACGACGGTCGCGTGGGACACATAGTAAGTCCTTGCCTCTCGAGTGGAGGAGCAAGTACCCGTCGGTAATGCGGTAATGGCTGGCCGGCG